CCCATACTATTCTGCCCTTTGCATAATTGTCCTCCATTCAGAAGACAAAAAAAATTAAAAACAACCCTTTCTGCCTCTTTATATAGGCGACGGCCCACTTCCGGTCTATGCTAATTATTCCTAACAAAGAGGTTTTTACAAAAACCTAAATTTAATAGCGAAAATGGCTAATTTTTAAAAATCTGATACGTGTGCAGTTATCCCTAGACCATTACGCACCTAATGACGTATCATACGTAGCCTAATACCCGTCCCTTCTTGAGATATCCTCCGGACAGACAGACGGAAGTGGATGCAAAGTGGCACACACACACACACAAACACACAAACACTATTTTTTTTATATATAGTAGGATTGTAAATTTCCGCTTTTCCCACTTCAAACCTCCTTCCGGTCCCATTTTCCGCCACACTCCGATCATACAACTTTTTCCCCTCGACCGGCGAATTGGCGATTCGATGCCCATCCCCCAATTTCCACCATCTGGCCCGGGGTTACGGTAGCGGGGGGAGTGGCAACTTTTGAGTGATGTTTTCCATCCGGGGAGGACCCACCACGGCGGCTGTAAAGTGGAGCGTGGCGGAACGGATCGTATTTTTGCGGGGGGTTTTGCATAAGAGGATTAGTGGGCCAGGCACTTGGCCAAACATGGTTTTTTGGCGTAAAAAAGTGGCCAATTTTTAAGGGATTGGGAAGTGATTTTAGCTCTCAAAAAATGAATCGTACTTTCTAAAGGGATGGCGACATCGAAATCCAAGTAAAAATAGCTAGTCAGGGTATTCAAAGGCTCCCATTAATGCCTTGTTTTGGTACAAATTTAATTTTTGGCCTCTCCGAGATAGCCTAGTAGTTAGAGGGTTTGCCTACCAAGCTCACGACCCTGGTTCGACCCCTGCCGCGAAAATTTTTTGGCTTTTTGATCCCTAAGCCTTGGAGGATCAAAAGTTGAAAGAAGCTCGTTCAAGATAAAATAATTTTACGCCAGATGGACTTCTTTTTTACAGCCTTGGCCTAGTGGTTAGTGAGCATCTCTATCAATCTCGCGACCCTGGTTCGACTCCCTCCGCAGCCAGTTTTGTGCTTTTTGCCTCCCAAAACTCACTGATCAATCCCCTCATTCCCCGGAGGTGTTTCTAGTCCCAGAATCGCGAATATCGATTGGCGCTCGCCGATCATTTATGACTTGTTGGGGGTATGGGGGGTGGCTGAAGCCCTATCGGACCGTGGGCCAGTTTATGGGACACTTTATTACGCGTATTCCGCCCTCCTATCAGCCATCCAGGGTTCGGCTTCACTAACATAGCTGGGAATTATTGGAGGGCTCATTAACGGGATCGGGAAGGCTTGAAGTCTATTAATGTGCTGTCGGTGACGTACAGACAACGTACGGAAAATTACCGAAAACTAGGTTGTATACCTTAAATATGCTGTGCTAGCCTTCCCCCAGCGATCACCGCTAGCTCGCCTAGCTTGCTTGTAGATTGGCCCGTAAGCCTATTCTAAGCCTAAGCCTATGACTGTGCCTAAGCTTAATCCAAAGCCTAAGCCCAAGTCCAGGTCTTAGCCTAAGCCAAACCTACGCCGAAGCCTGAATCCAAACATAAGCCTGCAAGCCTAAGTTAAGCGGGGCCGAGCCCAAGCCTAATTCAAGCCTGTAAGCCTAAGCCTAAGCCTAAGCTTAAGCCTAAACTTAAGTATAGTGTAAGCCTAAGCCTAAGCTTAAGCTTAAACTTAAGTATAGTGTAAGCCTAAGCCTAAGCCAAGCCAAAGCCTAAACCTAAGCCAAAAGCCCACCCCGGCGACTCACACCCAATCCATATGGTGCATGCCAACAAGTGCCCCCGGGGGCATGAAGGGATGGAGAAATAGACAGAGCGAGAGAGAGCGAGGGAGAGCGAGTGGACACTAATCTATTAGCCGGATCGGTGGCGAGAGAGAGAGCGAGATTGAGAGAGTGAGAGAAGCTAAGAAAGAAAGAAATTGAGCAGCTTGTGCGGGTGTGTGTGTGGGGAGGGGGAGGCTGTGACTTCTATAAATCACTCGATCTGCGTGCGCGCCCAGCTCTCACAGCCACACACAACAGACCCCCTCCTGCTCTGCCTTGCCCCTTTTCTAACGCCTTCCTTCTTGTACTCGCGATACAGGGGATCGTTTGAGGAAAATTGTAAAAAAACGCGGAAAATTTGATTTTAAAGAGAATTGGAAGGCAAAAATCTATAGCGCCAGGTTTCGAATGACTCGAAATTCAAAAATGTAAAACAAGACAATTCCTTGTTTCTGCTCAAAAATGAAAAAATGGCAAACTAGCAGATATCTTTTAGGAATCCTAGATGCTTTTGGGAATTCTGGTAGAGGTCTTATTTCCGGCTGCTACCTAATAAAAATGCTAATTAGGCTCCTGCCGAATTCTCAGACTCTGGCATTTTGAAATTATGGGCCTGCTGCTCGTTTCGAGGGGAGCTTGACGGGCTGCACAGCCTAAGCCGAAGCCAAGCCTAAGCTAAGCCTAAGCTACGCCTAAGCTACGCCTAAATCAAGCCTGCTCAGTGTAAGTCAAGCCTGAGCCAAGCCTAATTGCAAGCCAGCATAAGCGAAGCCTAAGCCGACCCCAGCAACTTCCCGGTCCCTTCAATTTTAACAATAAGGTGTCACCAGGTCAATCCACACCCCACTCGTCGTAATGGGTGATAGTTGGGGGATTTGAGACGCGAACGAGTGTCTGTCTGTCTGTGGGTCGTGTGTATCTCTGTGGTGGGGTGCGCCTCACATTCTGCTGATTTACGGGCGCACACGACGCCCACCACCAACACCCCCAAAAGATATGGCTTTGACCACCAGGAGGGGGATGATGAGTGATGGCCAGGGAGGAGGAGGAAGAGCTCGAGCTTCGTCTATCATACAAAATCAGTGGTGGAGTAATTTTCGATAAAAATGAGCTGATTGGCTTGTCGCTAAATGGTAGTATGTTAGGGTGTCAGTGGTCATGCTCAGGGCGGAAGATGCCTTTTGGGCAGAAAAAGCTCGATTTTTCTCTCTCACTCGCACTCTCTGGCTCTCTTTCTCACTCTCTCTCCTTCTCTGTCACTCTCTCCATCTCTCCCTCTCTCTCTATCTCTCTGTATGTCTCTCTCACCACTCTCTCGCTCTCTTTCTCATCTCTGGCCTTCTCTCTCGCTCTCTTTCTCACTCTCTCTCCTTCTCTCTCACTCTCTCTATCTCTAACTCTCTCTATCTCTCTGTATGTCTCTCTCACTCACTCGCTCTCTCTCGTCTCACGTCGCAAAAAGGTGAGCGCAAAGATTTTATCGGAGAAAAGGCTAAGAAACCCGATATTCTTAAATGATCTCTGCTAGCTTGCCCAGTAATTTTAGGCGTAAGACTTCATGGCTAATTGGCTAAGCTCTCGCCTCCCGCCCACACGACCCTGGTTCAATCCCGCCCGACGACAAATTTTTGCTTTTTGCTTTTCCCATCAATTATCCTTATTTATGCAAATTTCCGCGACTCCTTGGCCACCCCAATCAAATCGATAATTGGGCCCAATCCGGAGGGGGGTTGCGATGTGCGGCCGGGAAGTGGGGGCCATATTTCAAGGGGGTGGGGCCCCAAGGAGAAGGGGCCAAAGCAGGGCCAAGAGGGCCCCCCAGATCAGCCCCGCGTCCAGGACGGCAGGCTACGATATATGGCCCCCAGAAGGGACACAAGCCACCCACTGGCCCTTCTGCTCGCTGGGGCCACCGGATAATTGGGCCACCCCACACTGGGCCCTTTGGGACCCCCAAAAAAATATTGGCACTTGTTGGAGACGTTCGGGCGCGCTAGCAGAGATTCTTTGAGAGGATGAGCACACTAATAGGTATAAAAATAGCCGGGGAGAGCTAGCAAAGAGTATTTAGGATCGGAGAGCGTACAACAGAAAACATTTCCGAGTCTGCGGCTACCTTAATAGACAGCGCAAGCGAGCAGAAATCATCGAAGAATCTGAAATTTTCGCGTCGTAATCGTATGCCTACCGTATCCCCTAGCCTCCATGCGGTAGAGCGAAATTACCCGGGAGCCCGCACACCCCATTTTACGACTCCATTAATGGGGTGTCTAGAGGGGAGGGCGAATGGCATACGGTAGCCCTTAAGAAGTAGTAATTCGGGGGATTTAGACCAAAATTTTTTGCCTTAGCGAGGGAGGGAGAGTGAGAGAGAGTGAGAGAGAGTGAGAGCGAGAGAGAGAGCGAGAAAGATAGAGCAAGAAACAGAGAGAAAGCGGGAGGGAGCGCGAGAGCGAGATAGAGCAAGAGAGAGTGAGAGAGCGATAGAGAGAGAGCGAGAGTGCGATAAAAAGTGAGCGAGAGAGCTATAGAGAGAGTGAGAGAGAGGATTTTGACCTTTACTAACTTTCCAACCCCTTTAAAACTCAAATTACCACCCATTTGCCCGACAAACCTTTCCCAAATGTTGCTCTTGCCCTATCCATCACCCAGAAATGTTGATGCTCATCAGGCATTTAGGAGCATGAAGGGAGGCAAGGCAGGGCCATGTGCGTGAGTGGTGTCTGTCTGTCCGTCTTCAGCAGCTCTGTCTGTCTGTCTGCCTATCCGTAGTCCTCGAGAAGACAAAAGACCGTGCGGGGCGCAGCTGGATGAGTCGCCCGGCGGGTGCCAGCTGACTTTCGCCTGACCCTGAAAAACCCCGAAATTTGGGTTTTTCGAGGTGTTGCGAGGCGGGGGTTGTGAAATTTGGTATTTAACGATTAAATTAAATTAAAAATAAATCAAATTAATAAGAAATTAATTAAAGGGAGTGGGACAAAATATGTAGAGCTCAACAATTCCGAAAAACGCCTAAAAATCACGTCTTGTTCATCTACTTTTTTCAGCTTCCCCAACCTGCTGGGCGACGAGAACGCGAAGACGGCCGGGGATCGCGTGCGCAGCTTCGACGCTCTGATAAAGATCAAGTGCCATGCCGATCTCGAGTTTTTACTGTGCAGCCTCCACTTTCCGATGTGTAACGATAAGGTGAGGAAATAACCTAAGTCTGCCTAAGCTCAAGCCTAAGGCAAAGCGTAAGCGAAGCCCCGGCTTAGTCCGAACCTAAGCCTAAGCCAAAGCCAAGCCTAAGCTTGATCGGAGCCTAGGCTAAGCCTAAACTTAAGCCTAACAATCCTAAGCCTAGGCCTAAACCAAGCCGAAGCCAAGCTTACGCCTCAGCCTAAATCTATGCCTAAGCGTAGCCTAAGCGAAGCCTAACAAAGTGAAGCGAAGTGAAGCCTAAGGCAAGCTTAAGCCAAGCCTAAGCTAAGCGCATAAGCCAAGCCCAAGCCAAGCCTGAGCCTAAGCCTAAACTACGCTACCCCAACGCACTAATGACCGTCCCTTTCAGACAGCCCAACTAATCGGTCCATGCCGCCCAGTATGCGAAGCCGTTCGTGGCAGCTGCCTCCAATACCTCCGCGATTTCGGCTTCGACTGGCCCCCAAATATGAACTGCTCGCTGTTGCCGAAAGGTTGGTAGATGATCACTACTCCACAACGTTTTATCTTCCAGTTAACAACGCGGAAACGATGTGCATGCCGGGCCCGGGCACCCAATGGGCATCTACCGAACCCCCGGAGGAGGAGACCCAGAAACCGGTAGGCTTTCTGCTATGCTTCAATTCTTTTTGCAGACCCAACCCGTTCCCCTGACCATCCCCGGCTCGTCGAACGAATGCTCCCCCGGCCATTTCTACTTCAACCGCACCGGCGTCTGCGTGCCGCTCTGCAACCTCAACCACGGCCTCGCCCAGGTCAGCTGGCTTGCACGTCCCTTTAAAGGCCAAACCAATTTTTTAGACGGACCGCCACTCGGCTACAACTTACCTGGCGGCGTTGTGCGGATTGTCGGTGTTGTTCACGTTCTCATCGATCCTGTTCTTCCTCTTCCGCCCGCACGTCTTGCCCACGTTCCCGGAGAAGAGGTAGATTACCAGAAATTTGGGTTCAAGGGACGGGAAGCTATGGACTATGGATCGTAATCTACCTTAACCCCCTATTTAAATTTTCCAGCCTCCTCTGGAGCGCGACCGCCTTCATGTTCTCGTCGATCATCTACGTGTTCAGCATGTTGTACAGGGAGGAGGTGAGCAAGAGGGAAAAGGGCAGGCTAGCAGGGATTATTTGCTAGATAGAAAACTTTAGATTTGAATGAAATAAATGATTGTCTTCAGGTGTCCTGTACGCTCTACGCCGGCCAGGTGCTGTCCGTCGTCTCGGCGTTGCCCCACGTACCGTGTACGGCCGTGGCGGCTGCGTTGTTTTATCTAGGTAAGGGAATTTTTTTAGTTTTCTCTGCCTTTTTCGCTCTCTCGCGCTCTTGTCCCGCTCTCTCCCTCTCTCTCACTCTCTCTCTCTCTCACTCTCTCTCTCTCCCTTGCACTCTCTATGTCTCTTTTTTCAGGAACAGCCGGTCGTCTCTGGTGGTTCGTGATGTGCCTCGCCTGGAAAGAGCACACCCTCCAGACCGCCAGTATTGTAAGTTGCACCCAATCTACCGTATCCCCACCCCTTCAGGATAAATACCGTCGTCAAGTGGTCCTCGTCACATGGGCCCTCCCTTTAGCCGTGGTCATGTTGGCCCTAATGGCCCGAAGTATCCAAGCGGATCCGCTGGCCGGGGTTTGCCTCGTCGGGGCGGCTAGCCAGGTGGGTTACGGTATTTTAAAGGAATTTTGACACAAATTGGTTTTTAGAAAAGGGGAGGCTAGCAGAGATTATTTAGTAAATGAGGAAATTTAAGATAGATTTATTTTTAGGTCCTGGAAGGGGTCTTTCCGGTTTTCCGGGAATGCGTCCTGTTCCTCGTGGTCTTCGTTCCACTATGCGCGGGTTGCTGCTCCTTGGTGGGTTATTTATAGCTAGCTAAGCCTAGGCCTAAGCCTAAGCCTAAATGCCAAGTAAACCATATTTTTCAGGTCGGATCTGCCACTCCGGCTCCACATTCTAATGCTCAGCCGCAGCCATCGCATCTTGGGCTTTTTGGGTGCATTTACTTGGTTGCGGCGTTTTTCTATGTGTAAGTTTTTTCTCTCTCTCTCACTCTCTCTCACTCTCTCTCACTCTCTCCCTTTCTCGCTCTCTCTATTAGTCCTCTTTCAGTTTCGCCTTCCTCCACGACATCCTCCAACCAGCCATGGGTTGGACCCGATCGTGGAATGTCGTTTCGGCCATTAAGGTACGGTAGCCGTAGCAGTAAATCTAAAAAAAACGTTTAAGCTCCTCCTCGACCCGTTCCTCGGCGCCGTGGCTGGCCTGTGCTGCCTCGTACTGATCATCTCCAACCAGTACCGCGCCAACAAGTGGGTTTTCGAAACCCGCATTTTCTGGCACCATCCCGTTAAAGCGATTTCCAAGCCTATAAATTTCTCAAATTTTAATTTTAGTTATTGTAGCCTATTACCGTGTTAAAATACCGTATTCCAGGGCCCCATCCGGCTACAAGCACGGCTACCAACCGGCCCTGCTCCCACAATGCTTGCCCCCGAATCGGCCTCAACCGGAAGTGCCGAGGCCGGTGTCTTCTAACTACACTTCCACCTACGCCGCCACCCCTCGATTTGCTTGTTAATACGCTTAATCCTGAACCAAGCCCGGAGCTGAAGCTCAAGCCTAAGCCGAAGGCCAGGCCTGAACGTAAGCCTAGGCCTATGTCCGGGAGGCACGACCGGCCCACCAGGACGACACGCGACATAGGGATTTGATAGATCGGCCACGGGGCGAACTACAACTGCAAAAAACGGAGAAAAAGGAAGCTCAAAGCCAAAGCGCCAAAACGGTACCTAGGGGCCCGAGCCGGGAACGGAACGGCAGAAAGGCGCCCGTCAACAGAAAAGCGCCGAATGAGCTACTACTTTAAGTTTACGATGATTTCGCCGAAATCTCTTCTATGAACTTGACAGGCCATACCCTTGCCCGTGAATCCAAAAAATCTTTTTCGGTGAATTGTTTGCAAATGGTACGTATTACAGCTCATTCAAAAGAGCTTTTTCTGTTGAACACGATGCACTAATTCCTTTTTTGCTCAATTCCGTTGCCCCGGCTTTTACGGGCGCTTAAAGGTACCGTTTTTGGCGATTTGGCCAACTTTGAAGCTTCATAACTTTTCCTCCATTTTATTTAGCAGATTCTGATTGCAGATTCCGAATCCCCGGGTCCGATTCTATGAACCATATGTCTCATTTCTCGTGGGCCGATCGTGCACTTCCCTTGTGAGCCTAAGCCTAAGCCCAAGCCTAAGCCTAAGCCCAAAAGCCTAAGCCTAAGCCCAAGCTTAAGCCAAGGTTAGGTCCAAGCCAACGCCGAACGAAGCCTAAGCCTAAGCTAGTCCAGCTCGAAAAAACAGTGTCCGAATTTGAATATTCTTTGTCAAATATTGATTGATCTCGTGCCTATTCGCCTTCGAATTTTTTGTATTTCCCTGTGTCCAAGTTTTCAGCAATATTTTGTGCAAATTACTACTGTAAATTTTGCCTTCCAGGCTCCTTTAAACCCATTTTTTGTTATTTTTATAACACCAACAGCTCGGCTACAAACATGGTGCTTTATGTCGATGTGTACAGTGAACGGAATAAAGCTTCTCAACCCAATTTAGCATGGCGAATTACGCATTAAAGGAACAAACTATCAGAGATTCTTGGGGGAAACAAGGCAAGCTAGCAAAGACCATTGTGGAGGAGTGAGCTAGTACGAGAGAAAGAGAGAGACAGCGATAGAGAGAGAGCGAGAGAGAGAGAAAGTGAGGGAGAGAAAGAGAGAGAGTGTGTGGGTGAGAGTACGAGAGAGTGAGCGAATGAGAGACATAGAAGGAACGAGAGAGACATAGCGAGAGATAGACAATGGGGGGCGAGGGGGACGAGAGAGAGAGTAACAGAAAAAATATTCGATATTTTTGGTTTTACCTGGAGCTTTTCTTTCTATATTCGCTCGCTCTGCGGCCAAAAAGCTTGGCGTCGACGTGGCCCACTTACGGAAGAGATAAATGGGGCTCAGAATGGGCGGAGTGCGGCGTAGTTGGGGCGCATATTTATGCCCTTGCCTTTTTCGGGGTGTTTTTGCGTACAAACTCTACCTTCCACGACTCGTAAACGGCTTGTAAAGGTGCCAATAAGTGTGGGAATGGCCAAAAGCCCCTAAGCTTAAGCCTAAGCCCAAGCCTACGCCGTAACCCAAGCCCAAGCCTAAGCCTAAGCGTAAGCTTCAGCCTGAGCCTGAGCCTTGATTTTCCCATCCGATCATACACCGATCCGATGGAGTTGGCAGTGTGCCCGGCCCGGATCGCCGTGTTTATTTGCGAATTGTGTGTGTGAAGCGGCGGTGCCGTCTTATCTTCTGCTTCCCACCCGCACATTTCGAAGGATCAATATAGTAGATCGAGTCCCGGCCGTCTCTCGCTTTCTACGGCTCCCTTACACTCCTATTTACACCTGGGATCAACAGGCTTTAGCTATCTGATTAGCGAAAATTTTTTGCACCTCTAACTCTCTGTCTCTCTCGCTCTCTCGCTCTCTCTCTCTCTCTCTCGCTCTCCTTCTCTCCCTCTCTTAGCTCTCTCTCTCTCCATCTATCGCTTTCTATATCCTTGAAATATACTAAGTTTTGGCTCTTTTTGGATTACTCATCTCCTCGCCAGCCCCCACATGGTCTAGATGACTCAAGCGTTACTATCTCCCGTTTGCCCGAATTTTTAGCGCATGACTAATACGACTTTCAACGAGCTAATTTCTGTTTGATAGAGGAACAAATTCTGAACCAAAGACAGCTCTTAAAAAATTGCAAAATTGTAACAAAATTGTAATTGTAAAAAACCGATTTTTCATTTTTTTTTTAAATACTGTGACCACTAACGCTTCTTGCATACCCATAACTTGTATACTAATTCTGGGATCTTTCTGATGAGAGGCTTTTCCTGTCGAAATTCCATAGATCCAGAATTCCCAACCCCTTTAAAAGCACATCCAAGCCTCCTGGGGAAGGCCAGCCTATTTCTGTGTTGCCTGTCTTGTTGATGATGACGGGGCTGAGTGGACACGGAGCCATCATAGAGTGTCCGTGTCCGCTTGAGGGTCCGCGCTATCACTATCTTCCGCCCACCCTCGTCTTTCCGCTTCCATCCACATTACACCCCGCGCGCATCCGGATCCGGACGATCTCAATTGGGAATTTTCAGAAGATCTTTGCTTCGTCCAGCTTCCCTGATTAGTTCTCTAAATTTTAAATTATCTTTCCTAGATGCTCTCTGCTAGCTTGCCGAAATCCTTTGAGGGTTCCGGAATTTCCGAAACGGCCTGAACTCGGATGCAATTTCCTGCAAATGTCCCTCTCTCTCGCCCGCTCTCTCTCTCCCTCTCTCTCTCCCCCCTCTCCTCTCTCTCCCTCTCTGACTTTTTGCTCCTACGCAAAATTCTGGCGCCTTCTAAACCCTCATACCGCAAATATCTCTGCTCGTCTGCCCGAATAGCTTTTTCCTTTGTTTTATTGGTGTATTTTTTTCCACAAAAGCCCCTGCTAGCTCGCCCTAAATAATCGTCAATTGCCTTCAATTCCTCAAAAATCCCCGCTGGCTCCCGCGGACGACAGATTTTCGGACATTTCTTCTCTGAAACTTTCCCTAAAAATCTTGGCTAGCCTGCCCTTTTCCTCATTCCCCGTGCCACAAAATTTCCGCTCAAATTCCCAAAAAATCTTTGCTAGTTTGCCCTGTGTCGCGGACCTTCGGCTAAGCCTTTTAAAAATTCCTAAATAGTTTCTGCTGGCTGCCTTTAACTTCCAAATCGTTCAAAACTAACAAAAATTCTACATCTATTCATTGCCGATTTTCCGCATTCCCCAACCGACCGGAACAATGCGTAAAAAATGGAAAACCCGGGCGGCGCCAAAATGGGCGGTGGTGATGTAACCCGAGTCGACCCTCCGGGCCTCTATTCTTCCCCCCCCCCCCCTGGACCTCCGAATTTGCATGGGGAGTGAAGCGGAGCGGCGCTGGGGCGCTCTGTTTCTTTGGCAAATAGCCGACACCTCTGGGTCCCCGACTTTCCGCGCAAAACATACAAACACACAAACAACACACACACAGACAGACAGAAAGCCCCCCCACCCTCGCCTTTCCATGCATGGACCGGGGTGATTCATGGGATTTTAGTTTTAGAATTTCGGTGTTTTTGAAGCAGTAAATGTTTTTTTTGTTATTTTATTATTGTATTTTATTACTATCAGTATTTCGAAACCCATGTTGTCGAAAATGACTTTGTGCCAGTTTCATTTTGTCGAAAGTTCATTATGTACTTGTCAAAATGTTTTTTCGTCATAATTTATTTTGTCGATATTTCCATTTTTCGAAATTTTGGTTTTTCGAAATACTTTAGTGAAATTTACTTACATTGGAATTTGGGTTTTCTAAATGTTTTCTACATGCATTTTCGACAAAATAAAATCTCGATAAACATACATTTTCACAAATTACGCCTGGTTGAAATTCCGAAACTGTACGAACCAAACAATGCCGAAAATTTTAAATTAGGAAAAAAAGGAAATTTCGACATGTTGAAATGCCGACAAAGAAGTTTTCGACGGAATGAGTTTTGACACGCCATTTTTTGACTTCAGCGTACTTTTAGAGGCTCTAAAGGGGCCTGCAAGGCATAATCGTGAGGAATCCATAGTCTTCCCTTGTAGGTCCCTTGAATTCGGATATCTTTTCGAGCTTGAAAGTTAGTAACTCACTTCGGAAGCTACATATTTTGGCCTATTTGCATCCCAACATTCCATTGATCAATTCTCGATGCAAGAAAATCGCGCGTTTCGAAATTCCGACAGTTTTGCCCTAAATAATGCCGAATTCGAGCTATAGAAATTGCCATATTGTTTTGTCGGGGCGGATCGTCGCGGAATGGTTTTGGAACGGCCCCACCCGCTAGCGGACGGGGCTTTTCTGTTTGTCCGCGTTTCCATCCCCCCTCCGGTTCCCCGGTTTCGACCATCGATTATCGGGGCAGGAACGGCCCGGAATTCCGCGTCTGTACGCTTGACATGGCTAGAATACATGCCCTTACTATTTTTTGAATGGAAATTTGATATCCATTATGCACGAGATTTGCCTTCAATGGTCCTTTAAAACATGCAAAATTTTCCGACATTGAATTCATATCTATCCATTTCTGTCTTTTTCTTTTTTTTGCAAAAATTCTGTTTGAGAAGCCTGGAAACGGGCCATACTTCAGTGTTCCTTTAAATGGGAAATAAGCGTCTATAGTCCTCCTTTTCTCTAGCTCTCTCTCTCTCTCTCTCTCTCTCTCTAGTTCTTTTTTTCCTCTATTGTTCTCTCGTTTTAAGACATTTTTTACGAGCCGGAACCTTGATTGTTTACGCTTATGCTCAAGCAGAAAGCGATACAATTTCCGTTTTTCCAATTTACTATCTTGGTTTTTAATAGTTTCTTTTTGTTCTTAAATAATTTCCAATTACACTATAGTTTTTGGCAAATTTACACTTCCAGACCATAGCCAAATCGGCGGAATTGGAGCGGCGCTCTCGCCACCACGGCGGCAGCCGGAATGAGAAGTCCCGGCG